TCATCTATTCATGATTTCCTAGACTAACTATTTGAAAGATGGGTCATGCTGAAAATAATAAATGAATGTGTTTGGGTTTGGGTTTGTCACTATCAAACATGCTTGTGTGATGTTGTTCTTTTTTGCAAGAAGATAACAAAGGTGGAAATTGTTATGCTTTAAATGGTTGTTCTTCAATTATGTGTGATGAAAGAACATGATTGTTTTGCTTTATGATTGAAGGATTTTATATGGAAATTGATTTGGTAGGGTTTGGACCGGAAGATGGAAGTAATAAGAAAATTAAGGATTAATGAAATTCTAAAAATCCAGTATTTAATTTGGAGAAGAAGATGAACAACAATAATTAAAATCCAAAAATAGCTTTTAGCGTCAGTTTTTTCGATGCTAACCCCGTCACAATAGTTGGTCAAATGTGCCACGTAGATTTTAAACAGATTTTGACTAACATAGTAGACGAAAGGGACTTGTTTGCATTGTTTTGAAAATTAATGGACCAATTTGGCACGAAAAAAGTTAAGGGACCAAAGTGAACCATGACCTATAGTTATGGGACCAAAATGAGTATTTTGCTAGGAAATTATTTTGGTGACCAGGTATGAAGAGAGAGATTGTGGGATTTGTGTATTCTTATTTGATTTGTCAGAAGTTGAAGATTGAACATCAGAAACCGTCTGGTTTGATGCAACCGTTATCTATTCCTAAATGGAAATGGGATGGTATTCTATGTATTATGTGTCTGGTTTACCTAGAACACCGAGTAATTTTGAAGCTATTTGGGTTATTATGGATAGGTTAATGAAATCTGCTCACTTTATTCCGATGAGAATGGATTATCCAGTGGAGAAGCTTGCAAAATTATACATTGAGAAGATGGTCAGTTTGAATGGTATTCCATCTAGCATTGTATCAGATAGGGATACGAGATTTACTTCGAGATTTTAGGAAGGTTTGAAAAATGCTTTTGGTATGAACTTGCGTTTGAGTTATGCTTATCATCTGCAGACAGATGGTCAGACTGAAAGGATAATTCAGTCACTTGAAGATCTTTTGAGAGCTTGTGTATTGGATCAAGGAGTTCCTTGGGATAGTTATTTGTCTTTGATTGAGTTTACTTATAACAACAATTTCCATTCGATTATTAGAATTACACAGTTTAAGACTTTGTATGGTAGGAGGTGTAGGACACTTTTGTGTTGGTATAAATTGGGAGAGGATATTATGGTCGGACCTGAGATAGTTCAGTAGACTACCGATAAGATTAAGATGATTTAGGAGAAGATGAAGGCTTATCATAATCGTTAGAAGAGTTATCATGATAAGAGGACAAAAGCGAGAAGGGAGATCATGTGTTTCTTTGAGTTACTCTGATAATGGGTGTTGATCGAGCATTGAAGTCGTGTAAGTTGACGACGTGTTTTATTGGTCTTTATCAGATTTCAAAAGAAGGTAAGCGAAGTGGCTTATCATATTTACTTGCCACCGTCTCTTGCTAATCTCCATGATGTATTTCATGTGTCTCATTTTAGGAGATACATTACAGATTTGTCTCATATGATCCAATTAGATTATGTGCAAGTAAGAGATAATCTGACTGGGAAAACATCACCTATGGGGATATAGGATCAGAAGTTGAAGCAACTTTATGGTAAAGAGATTTCCTTGGTGAAGGTACCTTGAGGAGGACCGACAGGTGAAAACGTGACTTAGAAACTCGAGAGTCGGATGAGGGAGTCTTATCCTGAGTTGTTTGTTTAAGTTAATTTTTTAGGACGAAAATCTTTTAAGTGGCGGAGAGTTGTAACACCCCAATTTTATTTACTATTTATTTTGTTATTTATTTATTTATTTATTTTATTAATTACTATATAATATAGTAATTAACTAAATTGTTTGATTTTGTGAATATATGAGTTATTTGGATTAATTGGTGTGATGTGTGATATATGATTTATTTTATAAATTGGAAATATGTGTTATATGTGCAATTGGATTAGTAAGTGTGAGAATAACATTGATAATTAATTAGGCCTTATGTATCACATTAGTGTGAGTGAGTGAGATAATCCCATTAGAGTAAAACAATCGTTAGTATGTAAAACAAAGAGAAAATAGATCTAAAGAGAGATGTTGTCATAACAAGAGAAGAGAAGAAAGAGGAAAAGAGGAGAAAAGAGATGAGAAGAAGGAAGAATTCCTAGAAAAGGATCTACATCCAAGTTAAGGGTGGGTTTTTATTTGATTATGAGAGTATGTGATGTATGTAATGGGTAGAAACATGTTTAGGACAAAAACCATAAATTTTATAGTTTTGAAATTGTTAGGTTTTGATAATGAATCCTTGGATATGATTGATAATGGTGTTGTAATGTGTTTTTCTTCCTTGATTCAGGTGTCTTATGATATGATATGTTTTGGGGTTCGAATATGAAATGTTTCATGAAATTTAAGATTTTGAAATTAGGAAGAAAGAGATTTTCGTACAGCTACTATTGATTTTCGTCAATTATGACCATAATTTTTGTAAAATTTCAAAAATCATAACTTGAGTTCCGGGTGTTCGTTTGACGTGCCGTTTAAACTCGTGGAAATTTAGTACAATTTAATTTCTTGTAAAAATGGTTTCATGTTCTGGAAATAAATTCATTTGGTGTTTAATGGGGTTTCATGGTGTCAGTGTATGATGACGGGGTTTGCAATATGTAAAAGCTTCAAAAATTCATAACTTTTGAACCGTAGCTCTGTTTGAGTCCCTGTTTGATGCGTTAGAAAGCTAGAGCGATATTATCTTCAATAAAAATGGTCTTGCTAGAAGTAGGTGATTTAATTATTGCGTGTTTGTGTAAATGACATGTTTTTATGTGTTGTGTTGCTTATGGTGTGTATTAATGATACATTGCCATGTGGTCTGCTTTGTTCATATATATGTCGAGTTTGTGTACAGTTCATATGATGATGAGTGACTGTAATTGTATGTTTGAGTAATTATGATACCATGATGTTGTGTTGTTGTATTGTTGTAATATTGTGTTATTGTTATTGATTATAACATGATGGAGTTGATAATTTTTAGTTATAATATGATTATTAAATTTAATTATTGATGATAGTTTAATTATTATATGTTTAATCAGTGATGTGTATTTTATGAATTGAGGTTGGATTGAGATGATACTTTGCGTATTACTTATTATGTGTGGTGATGATGCTTAGAGCAAAGATGTTATGATTATGAATATGTGTTTGTATGTGCAATGGTGAGATAACTCAAAAGTCATGAATTATGTGATATTTGCTTGTATAATTAAGATTGAGAGATGGTCTTTATTGCATAAGATTTTTGCGATGGCACATGCGTCATTTGTTGTCAAGAGGAAATGTTTACTAGTTTCGTGGAATCTAGTGACTTGTCCTAAACCTAGAGGATTTGTTTGAAGCTTAGATGATGGTTTTTTTTCGTGGTTATCTATCTTGGAGATGGACCCGATTTAAATGTAAAAACTGTGTAAGGATACAAATTTGTACCACATGAAGCTTGCATCGTATTGAGTTGCATTTGATTCACATGTGTTGATGTGAAATGTTGAATTGGTGGGAAATATGTGATATTGAAGTGTATGTTACATTTCGTGGTATTTGTGATTGATTATCATTTGAGTTATGGATTGTTGAGCAATATTGTATATGTAAACATGTGAATTGGATTGGATAATGTTGAATACATGAATATGTGAAGTGTGGTGAATTCAATTGATGTATGTATGTTATGCATTACTTATTTTTATATTTTTCTATAATGATGTGAATTCTCACTCTTTTGTTGGAATGATGTTTTATACGACATCATTCAGGTACCGAAGATAGTGGTGCTTCTTGCAAGGATTAGTTGGAGGAGTTAGTTCTTTATTTATCCATATTTAGGTAGCAAGTCATGCTCTAATTATGTAACACGGAGAAACGTTTGAACTCATGTTTTTAAGAGATATTTGATATAATCTCTTTTATTTTATATTGTATTTGAGATTACGTGATGAGTGACCTTTAGTGCATAACGTTTTAATACATTGTTTCTATTATGAGATTCAATTATTGGTGTCATTTTGAAAAGAGAATTATTTTGTTGTGATATGCATATGAGTATGGAACATGATTTTAAATGCGTGTTATGAGCATGACCGGTGTATTTTTGTTGGTTTAGAAATACATGTAACTCCCTATTTTGATATGCATGTTAATTTACTCTGATTATGCCATATTATTGCGCGGGGGTTTTAGGGGGTGTTACAATAGTCTTCAATCAAGCAATATATCTAATGATGGTAACTATCAAGAAGCCTTATCAAGTCTTATCACATATAACAAGTCAAGTTCCAAATGAAGTTTTGAATCTTTGATGTATTAAGAAAGGGATCTTAAAGCTTCAGAGTTTGTAAAAGAGAAGAAGTGTGAAAGATCACATGGTCTGTGTCTGAGTGATTCGAATCTTGTAAAATATAGTAGAGTAATTCTTAAATTACTAAGGCAATTCACACACTCGGCTAAAAGTGTTTTTTAACCTCTGTATTTGATAAAAAAAGCTTCTTAAAACCCTTAGTGGAACCATCAAGGTTGTATTTAATAAATGGGGCTTATAAACATTTATGAGGCTTATGTGCATTTCCTAATTGATTAAGGCCCTTGACCAATCAAATAAAGCAAGGTATAAAGCTTCTTAATCAATTCATAACCTAATCAATAGGATACAAGTCGTTATATGTTTTCCTTTTTAGGAATTAGGATTAGTATTTCTATGAAGAACCCAATTGGTTGGACCTAATTTATAGTTGATTATGAGCATTAAAAATCCCATAGATAGGTTTCCTTTTTAATTGGACATCATTTTTCAAAGCCACAAACCTTTTGTTGATGGTGTGGCTCCTTTTGGGACGGTGCCAAAGAAACAAAAGAAATTGTTCATCGACAAGCGCTTATTATTCGAAGAAGCTACTAGGAGGAAAGGCATGTCATCTTTGGTGAGTGATGTAGAAATTTTATTATTTTCTTTAATGATTGTTTGGTGACTATTCCCTCAACTTACTTATTTTCTAGTTTGTAGATAAGATAAAATGTCACCAAACGATGCTACAAATGAAGAGAACTCGCATGGTTGTGCTTTTACTTTCAGGGGCCGTCAATATGTTGATTACTATAGGAGTTCCAATTACGGGGTCCTTTTCGGTCCTTTCATACTAAAACCTCATACTTGGTTCAAATAGAGGTTTGGGGTTCTTCTGACCAGCTCGCGCAAGAAAGAGATTTATGCGTGTCTCGATGTATGGTTAGAAAGATTTTTTTCATGTATACTACTATCAAATGTATCCCTGTTGTGGACCATCTAAAAGAAGACCTCAGATAGCTGGTTAGATCAAACGAGTTCGGGTCCTAGTGGGAGTTGAATGTTGGCTATGGAAACCTCATCTCCCATACATTTGGTTTGTCTCAGTCCCAGATGAATGGGGAGTTTTGGTTGTTTTTTTTTAAAAAGCATTATCCATATTTCTTGAACAAGGTTGAGGTTGTTCGTCAAGAGGAACTAGAAGAAATGACATACCAAGCATGCAGGGTGTCGACTTTATTAGCATTTGGTGCTGCAGGGAGGGGATATCCTTCTTCTTGTAGTTTCCAAAAATAGAAATGAGTACTTCTTGAGTGTTTCAATGCTATTATTATTGAGTAGGATCGGAATCTAGAGGAGTTCACCAAGGCAACTAGTTTGTTGAGAGAGATAAGGGTTGATGTGCATACTTTGGAGTACCTTCACTTATTGGATGAAATGGTGCATGTCCTTGTGCAAGAGATAAAACAAGGATGAAGCCTCATCATTCGCTCGAATGGCATTATCCACCACTGAGGCCGCCTTTGCTGAGGCAAGTTAGACATTAGATTCCTCATGCAATATAGTAAAGAAGTTGGAGGTGTCTCTGAAGGTGGCTCTGGAGGTTGGAAAATAGTCGAGGAAGGTCTCATAAGATGCGTCTTGAAAACCTCAAGTTTTCCAAAGAGTGTGTGAAGCCGGTGGAAGACGGTTCTGCATGTTTCTTTTGAAAATGCCTTGCAGCAGGTGGAATTTTTTTATCCCATAATGCATATTTCACGGTAGCATATTTGTCCTGATTAAGAGATGGTAGACGGGAAACTGGTCATCATTAGGGATGAGTCAGACTCGTGGTTTTTTCTTCTATTTTTATCTAGGATGTTCTTACATGGTGTAACATTTGATGTAAAAAGGAATATTCTTTATTTTATTTACTTACAAATATTTTTACATGTCATAGTCAGCTTTAGTGCCCCGAGTTTGCTTCTTTGGGAATTGGCTTTCTATTGAGGTCTTACTCAAAAGTTTTATTAGAAGTATTAGGGGTTGTTCCTGGCCAAGGGTCGGTACCCCTTATTTTCTCCCCAGTCTTAAATTGGTTTGAGGTTGGTGTAGTGGGGACTCACCTCTATGCTTCAGATTGGCTGGTTTCCAAGAGAGGGTGAGCCCTGATAACCACTTTGTTGTGTGGTATGTGTTCTTTATCCATGTGACTTCCATTGTGGGTTTGAATTTATTTTAGTTTTTATGATGGCACTCATGGGTCTGGCATATCCTTTATGATCATAAAAGAAAGAAAATTTGTGAAAGTTTATTCATTCTCATTGAAAAACATATTACATTGTGATTTCGAGTGTGCTTTATATATGTACCAAAGAGAAACTTTACTAAGTGATTATGTTGCTACTTATTGGTCTTTGGGTGTTCTGGTGTGGCACATTGTGATCAGTTTCCTCCTTTATTTAGAGTCGTCCTCTAAAGGTGTTGAATTAAAATGATTCATGCCATACCTATTAGAAACGTCAATTCCTTCTTTTAGCGATTTGATTTTCATCTCTTTAAATTTCTTGGTGAGGGAGGCCATGTTGATTTCATTTAAATTCTCTTTATCTTTCTCCTTTTAGTTGTGTTGTAAGGCCTTATGTATCATTCACGCTCCAGACAGGTCTGCACATATCTCATTGATAGAATAGACTATATACAACTATTGTGTAACGTTTGGTCAACTGTCTAATTTTGATATAATAGAATATTTTGTCATAGTTGACTATAATTAATTTCCTGTAATTATGATGTATCATAATTAGACAGTTGATCAAACATTACATAATAGTTGTATATATTCTACTCACATGAATGTGAAAGACACGCATTCCATTATCTTACATGGTATCAACCCTAATTGATCCCTCTCTCTAACAAAAAACAAAACACAGAAACATGTGTTTACTTCTTCTACTTCGTTGAAGCAGTCATCGCTGCCACAGGACCTTCGTCCTTAGTGTACCGCCATCTCCGAACTTGAGAACCATCGTGTCTCTCTCCCACTGTTATGTTTGTGTCGCCGCTGCCGTACACTGCATGTGTTTTCTTCACTTTGTTCCCGATTCAAATATTTTTTTGTGTTCCTTTCCACTGCAAATCATGTTTGATTCTGAACATAACAACTCCAATAATTGTCCATCCGCCACTGGTGATTCGGCCAGCCCAAGGTCACCATGCTCAATGGTTTTAAAACAGATTTTCATCCAGCCCTTTTCGTCTCCAATATTAGGAACCACATTCCTATTATTCTTGATATGGAAAAAGATCAATATAGAACCTGGGCTGAGCTTTTCTACATTCATGCTCACTCACATCGAGTCCTATATCACATTGTTCCATATACAGGAAAAGCACCACCAGGCACCAACCCTTAACGATGATGAGCATGAACAATGGACCACTCTTAATTTCGTTGTCCTTTAGTGGATTTATTCCATTATTTCTACTGATTTGCTGGCCACTACTCTGGAGCACAACTCCACTGCAGTTGAAGCATGGAATCATTTGGCAGATTTTTTCCAGGATAATCAAAACGCTCGTGTTGCCACTCTTGATGTCTCTAATTACTATCAACATCTTAAGATGCTCTCTAACCAGTTGAGAAATGTTTTCTTGCCTATCAACAATCATTGTATGGTTCTTCAACTGATATTTGGTCTTCCAGAAGTGTATCATAGTGTTGCCACCTTGATTCGCCTAAGTAATCCTCTTCCTACATTCTATCAGGCTCGCTCCATGCTTACCTTAGAAGAAGCTGATATGGCTAAAATGGAAAGCATCGACCCTCATGCTGCCATGCACACCACTCAACATCAACCTTTTGAAGACACCTTTCAGCGTGGCAATTTTCGCTCTGATAATCGCTCTTGCAGCAACCAGGGCTGTGGAGGGGACGTGGTAACCATAATGGACCTAATTATGGAGCTCCCAGTGCCCTTCCTTCATGGTCTTCTCCTTATTGGCAGCAGCTACAGTAGTACCCAGCTTAGCAACCATGGGGTTGAACTCCGCCACCATGGGCTATACCTTTGTATATGTATCCCACGTCTCAATGTCCTCATGCATATGCAACTACTACATCATCTCAAACACCTAAGGACATCAAGGCAGCTATGCACACCAAGTCTCTCCACACTCCTGACAATTAGTGGTACATGGATACTGGTGCAACATCTCACATGGAAGCATCACAAGGTAATCTCACATGGGAAAATCTTATAGTGGCCATGAAATTCCAATTCAATTCACCAGACACACACAAATTTCCACCTCTCACCAACACTTTCACTTAAACCATGTCCTGCATACCCCGAAAATTATTAAAAATTTAATTTTTGTGAGATGACTCACCACTGACAATAATGTCTCTGTTTCATTTGACCCTTTTGGCTTTATTGTATCTGATTTTCATACAGGGATCCCTATCATGATATGTGACAACCATGGCGATCTATATCCAATCACCACTCCCTCCAGTTTTATCGGTCTTACATCTAGTCTCTAGAGCGGTCGTCTTGGTCGTCCTGGCGTGTCTGTTTTAAATTCCCTTCACAAAAATAAGTCCATATGTTGTGGACATTTTAATTCTTTTGTTATTTGTGACTCTTGTGTTTTAGGCAAACAAGTTAAATTGCCATTTCTTAATTCTCAAACTACAACTTTGATTCCCTTTGATATTTTACATAGTGATTTGTGGACTCCAATTTTAAGTTCTGTTTTTTAGATGATTTTACAAATTTCTTGTGGACATTTCCTATTAGAAGAAAATCTCAAGTATTTGAAATATTCCAGTCACTTACAAAACTTATTCAAACACAATTTTCGCAAAAGTCAAATCTTTTCAATGCGACAATGGCAGTCAATATAATAATGAGCTATTTCAATAATATTGCACTGATAATAGCCTTGTTTTTCGTTTCTCTTGTTCTCACAAAATGGAAAAGTGGAACACAAAATAAGAACCATTAATAATATGATACATAGTATGCTAGCTCATTCTTCTGTTCCCCCTTCATTTTGGCATCATGCTCTTCACGTGGCAACTTATCTTTTAAACATTCTCCCTTGTCAAACACTTCAAAATTAGTCATCGACACAACTCTTATATCATTGAGATCCCACCTACACTCATTTACGAGTATTTGGTTGCCTCTGTTATCCATTATTCTTGTCACCTACCATTCATAAGTTACAACCTCGCTCTACTTCGTGTGTTTTCTTGGGTTATTCGTTGAATCATACATGTTATAAGTGTTTTGATTTGTCAAACAGAAAATTAATAATTTTGAGGCATGTTATCTTTGATGAAACTCAATTTCCCTTCACCAAAATAAACTCACCCCCGTCTCAATCTTATCATTTCTTAGACACCGACCTACACCCCTACCTTATACATCAGTGGCAAATTCAAATATCACCACCCGTTACATATAACCAACCAACACCAACAACCACAATTGACCAACCACTCTCCTCAATAAACTGACAACCCTCATCTCTTATCTCTCCGATAAACTCACCCAAAAAAATTTCTTCTACCTCACTCCCACCAATCCAACTACATCCCCTTCCACCTACACGAACCATAACCACTCGTAGCATGAAATCCATTGTCAAATCCCATAAAATATTTAACTTATCAATCTCTCACTCTAACCACATCATCTCTCCCATACCTAAAAACCCCAATTTGACCTTATCAGACCCGAATAGAAATCTACAATGCAATTTGAATGAGATGTTCTTACTAGAAATAAGATGTGGGATTTAGTTCCCTGTCCTTGTGATGCTAACCTTATTCGATGTATGTGTATTTTTAAGCATAAGAAAAATTCGGATGTCTCCTTTGAGCATTATAAGGCTCATCTTGTAGGTGATTGAAGGACACATGTTGCAGGTGTGGATTGTGATGAGACTTTCAGTCATGTGGTGAAACTAGCTGCCATTCAAACAGTACTCACAATTGCTCTATCAAAATCTTGGCCCATTCATCAACTGAATGTACAAAATGCTTTTTTACATGATGATCTACATGAAATTGTCTACATCCATCAGCCATTGGGTTTCCGCGACCCTCATCATCTAGATTATGTTAGTCGTTTGAAGAAGTCACTTTACGGTCTCTAGCAAGCGCCTAGAGAATGGTACCATTACTTTGTTGATTATGTCGCTACTGGTGTACCCCAAAATTTTCCCTCCCATATTTCTCAAAACATTTCAAGAAAGATCCCCAAGTTGCTCAAGGTAGTCCAAGGGTTGGCCAGACAAGCTCTCTCCTAAGGCAGTCTACCTCAAATTAGGGTTTCATGTTGCATCAAGATACTTGAGTCCAAGGGACCCCAAATTCTCAACATTGTCCTAATATGTTCTCAAGATCATCCATGTCAAGTTTCAAGCCTTGCAGAGGAAGTTTGCTCAGTTAATTGCTCAAAGGCCTGAAAATCGACTGTGTTAGGGCAAAAGTCAACTATGGCCCACATATAGTCAAACTTCAAGATTTTTGGTCAACATCCTCATTTTGAAGTATATTTCATCATTTTATCAAGGTTTGATCATGATTCATCAAGGATTGCTCATAATTCATCAAGACTCAAAAGTTGCTAAATTAGGGTTTTGTAGGAAAAGTCAACTCAACTTTGACCAAGCATAACTTTCTCATACTTTATGATAAATGACCCATCCAAAGCTCATTTTGAATAGGATGAAATTCCCTACAATCCATCTTCATCTCCCAAGTTCAAAATATGCACTCGCGAGAAGTAATGAATTTGGACATTATAGGTCATTTTGGAAAGTCAACAAAAACACCTTTTGGGTCAAAGCTTCTTACATGAACATGGAAGATCCAATTGAGATGAAACCAAATAGGTCTCTTAGGGGACATCCTAAGATTTCTAAAACGTCCAAGAACACCCTCATAAGGTTAAAATTGAGAGAGATATGCATTGTCAAAGTTGGACAATTTTTGAAAAAATGCATGAAGAAAATATTGACCAAACTTGGATTTTTTCCAAATGGGCCTATCTTTTCAAGTTTGAAACTCATTCCTAACATGGTCCACGACCTCTAAGCCCACCCATACATTTTTCTACTATTTATGTTATTTATTTTGATATTTTATTCATTAAAATTCAGAATTAAATAAATAAATAATAGAAATAATATAAATTTTGATGTGAATCCATTTTGGGAAAGTTTTATGCTGGTTTATGTCAATTTATTTCGTGCAATAACTCTTCAAATATGTCCAGGTTCATCCACATGTGAAAATGGCATAAAATCATCAAATATGGCATTTTTTTCAAATTTTGATCATGGTCTTAAAACACAACATTATGAGGGAGATTCTTTCCATGCTTTCTTGTCTCCTCATTATCCTCTATAAATATAGAGCCATACAAGCTTGAAAGGGACGAAAATCCTCTCTAAAAAGCTCTAAAAAAGCTCTTCAAAAAGCTCTCTAAAAGCTCTTCAAAAAGCTCTCCAGAAATCAAAGAATTGGTGCAAGTCATATCTCGAGGTTCCGCTCTCTCTCAATTGACATCAAGCCTCAAACCATCCTCTTGAAGTCCTCAAGAGTCTTACAAGGCCCAAGAGCAATCCATCACACGCCTAGCACGCCCCCCATTTAACAACACCGGTTTGGTAAAATTTTAAACTTTGAATCTCTAATTTTAATCATATTTTATGGTATGCTAACGTTTGTTTGAGTTTATATAGAATAATTATGGATGGTTGAATCATAGGTTCCACGCAAGAATAAAAAAACATCATAGTTAGAGCATGAAGCTTTCAAAGATTCGGGCCTAGGGATTTTTGATGACTGCACCCCCTGTTTACTTTTGCTACTAGGCCATCTTTATTTTCATGTTTTATTCGTTTTATTTATTTCTTTTAATCCCTTTTATTTTTTTTATCAATAAACAAATATAAAAATCACATAAAAATAGATTTAGGATTTTTTCTTAATTAAATTTTAATTTTAGGTAAAACTTTAATTTCTTTTTGTAAATAACTTAAAAATAATTAGAATAAATAGGTTTTATTACTAACTTAATTATATTTTATTTTTTCCTAAAATAACCAAAGAAACCAATATAGGTCCTGTAATTATTTTTATTAATTAATTTAATTAACTAATTAATTGCATATTTAATTTAGAAAACTTATTTCTTTTATTAAAAACAACAAAAAAACAATTTTCTTTTAATTAGGTTAGAAGGGTCAAAACCTTAAATTCTCGTCGATCTTAATTCTTCTCGCGCGTTTTATTTTTATTATTTACCATATTGATGTAACTGCCTACAGTTTATAATAGTTTAATTAGGACGTTTATTTACATTTATCGCTTTATTTTCAAAGGATTTGTTTTTGGCTATGTAAATACCCAAAGCCTTGTAATAGCGTAGTTTAAATTCCGCAAATTATTAACTGTTAGATGTATGATATAGGGATGCATGACAAGAATGTATGATTAATTTTAAAACAGTTAGATCACCCTAAATGTGCAAAGATAAATAAACTTAAATTGAATCATTCGCACATGCCCACTCCTAGGGTACACTCCCACTTGGTTGTCTTCGGTAAATGGTCATTGAGTATAGGATGCTTTAGTGGTCGTCCTTTTGTCTAAACAAAGATCAAAGTCCTGATTCGGAAAAGTTGCCTCGGAATGGTTGCCTCGGAATTGTTGCCTCGAATAATTGATCTAAGACATTAGGGTTTATTACTAAGACGTCCTAACATTGCTTTAGTGATCGTGTGTCCCTTTGGAATTGACCCTCAAACTCCAACGACAGTGCTACCTACTCACTAATAGTGGGATAGCGTTGTCTAAAGGAAACAAATACATAACGATTCTTTTTTCGAGTAGGTAGATTAGTTCTTAAGTACTTGCCCATTCCAAACAAATTTTTCACACTTACACTCCTTTATAAACAAAGTTTTCAAAAACACTTCATTACACTCTTGAAGACAGAAGCAAGAGTTAAATCGAAGTCAAAACAAAAACTTTTCAAAGCGCACAAACAAAAAAAAAAACAATTTTGAAAATGATGAGCAAGTACCTAAGAGCCCGTAGATTACTACGAATAAAAAGGGTGCTAATACCTTCCCTTTCTATAAATCTACCCCCCCCCCCCCCCCCCCCCCCCCCCCCGTACTCAGAAATATCTCGAAAAAGGAATTTTTCTGTGCTTTTTTCCTTCCCTTGTTGGATAAAATAAAAGACGGTGGCGACTCTTGCTTACCGCGACATTTTGCAAACACAAACGCAAAACGCAAACCAGCAAAATTTCCTTAACGAAATAGGGAAACCACATCCCGGTTCTGGCTACCGTATCACAGCTACCATTGGTTTTCACCATAGCACATCAGACCACTCCCTCTTCATATATCAACAAATTTCAAACATGGCCTACATTCTGCTCTATATAGACGACATCATCCTTATCACCTCTAATCATGCACTTCACAAATCCATTATGTCACTCATAGCATCTGAGT